AAGTTATTTATCTGTCAATGTTTACCATCAAAAATTTTATGGTAATAAGAACCAATATTTTTTTGAATTTTTAGCAAATCTTTGAGTAATTTTTGCGAAAATTTAAACAAGTACAAGGAACACCTCACTTACGTCAGAAGATTCATCTTTACTACACAAAATCAATCTCACTTACGTCAGAAGATTCATCTTTACTACACAAAATCAATCTTCACGGCCATCACCTTCCAACCACTACAATCATCTCCATTTTCCACCACCACCACCACCCAAACCTTACTCAATTGCAATTAACAACACACATATACGATCACACCTAAAATATCTTCGATCAAAGTATTTACTCAAAATTTATAAATTTCGGTATCATACCTTCCTCGATAGCAAACGTCGAATCCTTAAATTAAGGTGGTCTAAAGTTGAACCAAATCAGAACATGTGAGGTTCAAACTTCAAACCATGCACGAAACACAAGGTGCTAGAAAATCTTTCGAGTTTTGATATTGTTCTCGTCCTATGAATCAACAAAGGCCCAGCCAGATTCGCTGAATCCTAAGCTGGGAAAAAGGGACCCATGACGTTTCCCATATGATTTCACGTGACCGGTCGTGAGTTTGACAACTGTTCATTGGAGGTTTCTAGATAGGCCTCACACGTCTGCATCGTGGGCTTGACCACTTATCTCAAAGCCCCGCTCACGTGCCATCGATAGACACGTGACTTAGAGCTCCAATAGGTAAGTGAATATTTTATTTAATACTTACATTACGCTATTATTGTTATGTAAAATAGTTAATAAGTAATTATTACTCGTGCGTGAAGATACAGAATAATAAAAAAAATTATTAATCATAAAAATATTTGTATTCAGATTCAAAATTAAATCACAAATATAGAAAAAAAAAATAATTTAAATACCGGTTGTAATGAGAGTGAACATTGTGTAGTGGTGGTTGGAGATGATGATGGTTATAGTGGACGATGACGACCGTGGTATTGGTGATAGCTGTGGGTGGCAACAGTGATTGTGAATTTTAGGTAACAATGATAATAGTGACAGTTATGGGTGACGACGGTGATGGTGGGGCGATGATGGTGATGGGATCGGGTGGGCGACGATGGTGGTAGGTTCTTGGATTTTTTGACCAAAAAAAAAAAAATCTTCTTGGATTGTGAAATGTGTGATTTTAGCCATTGTCACATATATTTTTGAGGTGCAGATTTCAGGCCATTGGGCACCATGATGTCCATCATTCAATTTTGTAAACCTTTACTTTTCTTTTATGAACATGCAAAGATCTATTTTTTTTTTAAAAAAAAAACATGCAAAGATAGAACAACTAAAGTTTTATTATTTTACTTAACATCATGCTGTAATCACAAGAATAAAAAAAACACACAAAGTTCAATTCCAAACACTACTTTCAAAAGGGTCTCATAATTAGGTGAGAGCTAATCAATAAATTTAAATATCCTGTCACAAATTTATGGGGATTTCGTATCTTTTTTTTCTCTTCATGAACATGCAAATATAGAACGAGAAATACTAGAGTGATTAAAAAATAGATAAAAACAAAGACCAAATGACGTCGCATTATCATATTATTTGGTCCTGTTTTTTGTTTTAGTTAATTTAACATTACTTATATAGAACACCTAAGTATCATCTTGCAGTAAAAAAAACCTAATTTTGTAACCTTTTCACATTGGAGTTGGATGCAACTTGATGGAGTTTATCCTGGATCAAACTGAGGCTCAACCCGTTTCGTATTGAATTCCTGATAAATTGGGCTTCGGTTGGGCTGTTGATTTTCTTTAAGACTGCAAAGCTATGATACTATTGGGCGTAATCAAAGCCCATTATAGACTTTTCAAAGCCCCAATTTTAATCTTCTTCTCCATGTATATTTGGAATTGCAAAACCCTATTTCTCCCTCATCCCTTTCTCGCTCTCGGCGATTGAAATCGAAAAATCCGGGAAGTTCTTTCGCACTCAATAAGGATTTTTTACTCTCTTTTGTTGTTGATGTTGTTGTTAGCGTTTCATATTTGTGTATGTGTGTGTATACAAGGGTGGCCCAACACAAATTGAGGCCTAAAGTAAGAATTTTATAAGAAATTTTATTTAATATTTTAGGAAGGTAATAATTTTTTAATAAGTATTAGGCATTTTACAAAAAGTTGCGATATGATTTGTTTTTAGGAGTTTTGAGATCGGGTGGAATCAAACAATAAATTGAGTGCAATTGTAAAGTCAAGATGTTATACATTAATAAATTGAACGAAAACTTAAAGTGACAACAAGAAAATTAAAGATAATGACAAAGAACCATAGCAAGACAATAAGGCTAGGAGAGAGCGAAAGAGTTGAAGAGAGGCGATAAGAGGCAAGGAAAAAAATAGTGAAAAGAATCAAAAAGGCTTGTAACTTTTATAACTAGAAGTCAATATTTTTATATTTTTTTAGACGAATTTGTTATATTTTAAGACTTTCTATAAAGTTTACATAGACTTGTGAAATTGTTATATTTTAGAACTATTTATAAGATTTTAGATAGACTTGTGAAACGTATTGGACCTTTAACTTTGTTCATTCAAAAAGGTCTCATAACATAAAGTTGAACTAAATTTTGAAAATTAAAATGGGCCATAAATTTTTTAGTTTCTAAGTAACTATTTTAATGGTTGGGCCCTATGGCCAACCTTGTTGTGGCTTAGTCTCTACTCATCCCTCATTGTAGAGTTTTTATCTATGAAACCAATTAAGTAAAACAAATTGATTATTAGATGATATACAAGGATTAAATATAATATATGTGTTATTTTATATTTTTTGTATTTTTTTAATTTTTCAAATTATGTGTAGATCGTTATAAGGTACTGTCATAATAAAGATGTTCAATATTACAACGTGGTGTCACATAATTTTTTTTTTTTAGTAATTTAGGCATTTAAGATATATTAAATATTACATATGTATTATTTGATGCACATACTATATGCGTACAACTGTTTAATAGTATAATTCATAAGAATTGTAAATATATATAAATCATCTTGACTAACAACACATTTTTTTAGTAAATAAATCTGCACATCTGTTTATCTTTCTTTTCTCTTGCTTGACCTGCATTTTTTGGGATACAATCTATTATTTCATAACTATTTTTATTTTTTTATATGTTATTCATAAAAATTGTAATATTACATGATCGATTATTAGTATACATGTGTAATTCCTTGTTATTGAATTATTTTATTATTTTTTTATGATCCTTAATTTGTTTATGTATACAACGTTCACCTACTATTTTATTATTTTTTTTCCTAATAATAACTTTATTGAATTTTTTTCTTGAAGTTAATTACTTTTTATTGTGGATCTTTTATGAAAATAAACAATTTAATTAATTGGTGTTTTTATATTTAAATGGGAACAAAATCAAGTTTAAGAAAAATAGAAAATATGTTTGATTTATTTTTATTTATAAAAGAGATATACTCATTATATTTTTTTATTCAAGTGGTAACCCTTTTTTTTGTCATTTAAAATGTGTATGTGTGAGATGTACTACACTTTTCGACCTAAATTTTAAATTTTATTTTGTTGATTTTCAAATTTTCCCATATCCGACCAATTTCAACCCTACCCAACCTGATTGTTTGGCTTCCGTAAAAATGGGTCAACTGATGAAAGAATTTTTGGTTTTTCAAGTATGAATGTGAAAATACCCACAAAAAAATTTGCATTTTCATCCGACCCGACTCGACCCACATGTATAATTTTTAAAAAAAAATATAGTAAAACCCACCATCAGTCAATTGATCCCTAGCGCCTCCTCCTCTTCGAATCTCAGAGACTCTCGCCGCCTTCTCTTCGAAGCCACACGCCACACGCATCCCAGGTTCTCTATCTCTCTCTCTCTTTCTGTATGACAGTCTATGTGTGAGTCTTAATTCCTTTTGTTTTTCTGAAATTGAAATCATATGATGAAAGTTGCAGTAGTTTTTTTTGTTAAACTAAATTATAATGAGTTTTAATCATTGATTTATATCTCATTATTGAACTCTAAAATTTGAGGCCTTTTCAATATGTAGGGCTTATTTTATATACTGTTGAGCTGATGTGTATATATGTGGGCGCTTATGTAGATTCAGTAGGTTCTATATGTTTGATTAAATGCGGCAAAGACATATACTGTAATACCTGACCAGTTGAAGTTAAAAATGATCGTCATAAGTTGGCCTGTGTGTGGTGAAGTCAATTTTGTATGGACTGTTTGAAGTTTGATAGAAAATAAGAAAACTACAGCAATATGTTTTCAAACCCGCTCAGTCAGTTTGGCTTTCGAATGAATCGGACAACAGAGTTAGTCGAGACCTGGTCCAGACCAGTTAGATTCCTGCTGTAGTTGCATGATAGTGTAGGTTTATTTGATCAAAAAAAAGCGAAAGAGTTCTGATATACGGGACCGCATCAAAGATGCTCAAAAAGGTTGAGATTTATGGAATTATGTAACCTAGTTACTTGAGATTTGATATTATTTCTTAGTATTGTTTTTATCACAGGTTTTTGCTAAAACTTACAGTTTATCATCCCATTAAATGGTTTAATTCGTAATGCTAAATTTCCTTCTCTTTATTGCAAAACATTTTTCCAAATTCCTCCCCCTCCCCCTAACACACAACCCCAAAAAAAGTGTTGTAGTCACTGCCACAGTAGTGTGTGAATTCCAAACTTGTTGTGTATGTGGAGGATTCGAAAGCAAAACAAAGCAAGTTGCACATTTTTGACTAATAACTAAAAGCCTGGAAGCAATGCCAAGGTGGTTTTTTTCCAGGTTTTGTTCAACCTCTTTATTTCTATTACAGTAGTTAGCTTCACTAGAAATCTTATAAACAGAGATTTTTGTTTACCTCAAGACCTAAGTTTATTGATTACTCGTGAAGGATTATACTGTACTTCATAAAGAAAGTGGAGCCAGGTCATAGCTGAAGAGATGCAAACACAAGAAGTTGGCAAAAGCCCAAAGAAGAGGAAGGTAGGACACAAGAAAGGTAGTAAGACAAAGAAGAAATTGAAAATGTTACAGGGTAATGGAGAGGAAAAGGTTAGAATAAACCAAAAAATGAAAAAGTTATTCCGCAAAAGGGTGAGAGACTACAATTCAGATGATGATGATGATTCTGCCCCAGTAATTGAAGATGTAAGTGGGCAGTTGAATGACAAAAAAGAAGTGTCTGATGGACACTCTTCAGATGAGGAAAGAGAAAATCATGGGGATGTTGGTGAGGAAAATGAAGTTTCTGAAGACGACGAAATTGTAATTCAACCTGGAATAACAAAGTTCACAGAAGGTTGTAAAGCTTTCAGGATGGCATTCAAGAAAATCACTAAAACGAGTGTTTCCGATGATGTATTGGTAAGCTAATTGATATGTGATCTTTTGTTTGATGCAATTGAACTTGAATAATATAATATTCAAAAAGAAAGTATTAGTTGTATACATGCAACATCTTTGCAGGGTCCTGTATTATCAGCACACAAGAAGCTTGTGGTAGAGAAGCTAGCTGAAGAAGATGTAAAACGGAAGGTGAAGGGGGAGGCAAAGAAAGAGAAACACTTGGTATCTCATTTTGTGCTATAGCAAATCAATATTCTATCTTCTCCCCGTTATTGCAAGTTTATTTATGTAAATTCATTTGATTTTTCTTAATCATTGAGGTAGGAGAGAAGGGACACGCGAAGCCTGCTAATTTTTTGGACTTGTATGAAAAGTTTCTAATAGGAGTTGCTACAAAAGGAGGTCCTGAATACTCTCTGTATTAGTTAAAATTTATGTGTTAAGGACAACTTTTCGCTCAATCTTTCTTTTGGCATTTCCAAACTAACTTAGATTTCCAATTTCCCATGTGTATTGCTGGGCTTTCAGTGGTCAAGTTATTTAATGCTGTAAGTAGCTCCTTAAATTTTTAGATTTTATTTTCCTTTCAATTTCATGAAAATTATCTGCAAATGTTTTCTGTTGCTGCTTCAAAAAACCAGCTGGATTCTCTTTTACAGGTCAACAAGTCACAAAATGCTCAGAAAGGATTAAATCCTTCAGGTCTAATGATGCAAAAGGTATGAAATACAACATTTTCTACTGGACAACCCCTCATCATATCTCCATGTATTGTGGTATTCACCATCTCATTTATGCTCACATGCTTTTGCCTTTATGACACAAGCATTTTTAGATTATCAAGATGCTTATAAGCATCAAGAGATTCCATTGGTCATTCCTAAGGATCAAAATTTTGTTTTGGGGCATAGCTCCGGTCAGAATGGGAAATAGCTAACTACCAAAGTTTTACGGTATTATGTATACGTGCAATGATTATCATGAACATTTTGAACAACTTATAGTCGGTTGTACAGTGACCATTAGTGTTGTGGTCACCGTCTCATGTTATTTACACCACTTGGGGTGCGTGGTTATGTAGCTGAGGTGGAGACAAACAAGGGGACAGTGGTCAAATGACATCAAATAAAGGCACACTGCATTTATAGGGAAACGTATAGCCAGATACTCGGCAGGCCAAATATCCATATGGGATTCCTTACTGTATCATGGCGTCAGATTTTAAAATTATCATGAGGGCCTCCCTGGAAGGCCTTCCAGAGCCTGCTGGATAGTTTAGTTGATTGTGTCATTTCCCTACACAACCTGACACCTCATGTGCCAAATCAAAGGGTTGTTATAACCCTTAGCACATAGGAGGGGATAAGAGTCAGCAAGCTACACTGGCCGGGGTGGGGGAGGGTGTCCCTATTTTGATGGGTTACCATATAGGAGGGGATAAGAGTCAGCAAGCTACTGTGCTTCGCTTTTTTTGAATTTCCAATTCTTTCTTTTCGTTCTACTCATAACTGTGAGAGTGCTAGGGAGGGTGGACTTTGTCTCTGAACCACAGATATCACGTCTATCAGTTCCAAATTATTCTGTAGATCATTAAATGCCCATGCCCAAACTTTTAAGAGCTTTGGCAGACCATATTATCTAGAAACATAGATAGCTCAGAAGCTTAAAAAGTTTAGAAATCAAAAAAGTAAACTAGAATTACTCAAGTTGCCTTCATGAGAATGAGGACATCCAAATTTGATGTTTTTAATTGACATTTTTTCATTCTCTGGCTTTTCCTCTCATATGCTTGGAAAACATAAGATCAGATAATTATTAGACCCTCGTAAATTGTTTGATTCCCAATCTGGGATGTTTCCACCATCCCCCTACATTCTTCAAACTTTGGCATCATAAGGATTCTATATGGCCCTTTGCTTTACATCATCCGATTCTTTGAAGCAGCAATGTGTGCATGATTCCATTGTAATTGATTCATCTATCCTACCTGCCATTGTCATAGTGTTCAATTCTAACTGTGGTGACATATGATGTCTTAAATCTGCCAGCTATAAGGAAGCAAAGGAAAGAGGCCTTTTTCTCCGAGTTAGGCAACACATCCCAATTTACTCGCGCACCTGCTAAGGTTTGCTTTCTCTCTGTCTCTCTCTCTCGTGTGTACATTCTGCTGCATGTTTCCAGGTGTTGTACCACACCAAAAGTACAAAATAAAGATGATAGTACGATTCAATCTAGTGGTTATGGCTCTATTTGGGTCAAGTTACAACACCAAAAAGTAAAGCTAAGGTTTTAAAAAGTTAAGATCGCTCTTAAAATAATGGAATTGAGGATCGATTCTAATATTATATGATCGATCACAACCGACCCCCTTTGTTATAAACTCACAATATTGGGATTTCACTTACCTTGATTTTGTAGTAACGTTACCAAAAAGTCTCGCTTCATTATCTTTCCCTTAACTTGCGTGGTTGACCTTTTAGTGAGCTGGGAAACATGGCCTCTATGTCTATAGGTTCCAGATATGTAAATTTCTTATTCCATGGTTTTATGTACAGATTGCTGCATCTACAGGCCCAGCGGATGGTGAAGGTCCTGCATGGGCTCCATTACGTGATAATTACATGCTAACAAATTCTATGTTAAAGGACTGGGATAAGATGCCGGTAAGAATTTTTCATTCATATCTTGATATTTGTTCCGTACCTGCACCCTTTTGTCAACCTACCCCTTTCTCGTTTTCTTCCTGATGTGTGTCGGAAAATTTTATAAAATCAAATTGTGCATGTAGGATACAAGGGTAGCAGATGACTTTGGGATGCCAGCTGATAGTTCATCTGATGATGACTAATATCATGGAACGTCATCAATAGCACAAGTCAAACAATTGTTTGTCAGGCTAGTTTTCTTCAGCCTGGCGAAGTCGAAACTCTCGTGCTTTGTCATTACAATGTAGAAAATCCTCCCCCCCGCCCCTTTCTCCTCCTTATGCTTTGTATTTCACACTGGTACTCAAGTCCAATCTAAATATTTTTTTCTCCATTATTCTTGGTTTAAAATCTCGTATTCCATGTTATGTTGGAGTGCTTGTTGTACGGGTAATTTTTGCACTATCACTAAAATGTTGAAAGTGTAGCCTTAGTTTTTGAATATTGTCCGGTTCGTAAAAAATTGTCCTGGTCTCTTACATAACTAATTGTATAGTTTTTTACCAATAGTTGTCGTTTTTAGTTTTAGGCCATTCCCCTAGAGCCTTGTGCCATCAATTGCAGTCAGCTTGGTCAGATGATATGACCCATCACATGTAATGTTGTGGGTTTTATTTTCAGCAATGTTCGATATCCATCCAAAATGATCCACATTTTTTCCAATTTTTTTGAATCGATAAAACAGTAATTACCACAATAAAAAGTTCATCCACGATTTATATAATAGGATTATTACAGATTGATGTCCCTTCTCAGCTGTGTAAACATTATTTCTGATGTACATGTCATCAGTAAAAAGAAAATCAGGAAAAAAGTTTTTCCGACCACATCTCGTCACCCATCATGCCTCCGAAAGGCTTAAGAACCGATCCTATGTATTCATGACAACAACAAAATGATATGTTACAACTAGAATCTTCATATCTTGGCTGCTAATCAAATTTTCGTCCCACCATTCCAACATCCCCAGTGTATGATGCGATTAGGAGCAGGAAGAAACAGAAGATATGAAGTTGATAGAATAAACACCCACATTAATGAAGGACCATGGAGGTTGATGGATGCTCATTCTCTCGAAAAGGTCGACGTTTTGAATTTGTCCCGTGTAACAGAGAGAGGAATTTGGCTTGCTGCTCTTGAGCAGCGTAAATTTACATTGTCAGTTTATGTTACGATCCATCTTTTCTTTTCTGATGATGGATCAAAGAACTTCTTGTATTGAATTTCAGCAGTGATGCTGTGGAATCAGCTTTCCACATCCACCTTTATCCATTGAACACAACCCAGACCCTGGTGATACAATCAGACAATATGTCATTTGAGTAAAAAGCATCCAGTAATCCGGTTTCAGATTTGATCATCTCTTTCTTCATGCATAATAACGAACTGCATTCTCAACAGCTTCGAGTCTTACTCAGTGGGTCGTAGTCATAAACATCACCAGCCTTGACAAAGCGTCCCTTCACCCGCTTTCTTACATCAGCTCTAGCCTTGCGAGAGGCATACCTCACTTTTTTCTCAAATCTATAGAGTTAATATCAAGACGACAGTTAAAGAAGGGAGATTAAGAAGAAAAATATGGACAAAGTACAACTTTCACTTATTGTAAAGCTGATAACGACCCTATAAGTAGTTGGAAATTCAACCCCACTGAGAAAAACCAATCCCAAAGGCATTGATCTTACAAAGAGAAAAAATAAGAGTGATGAAAACAATTGATTCCAATGACTCCACATTCCACACTAATGAGTTTATTAAAATAACTTACTTGCGCGCCTTTTTCTTTTCCTTATAACGCAAAACAGCACTACTCCTGCTAGTTGAAGGGAAGGAACTTTCAGGACAAGGGGGACACCATGGAGGCTCTCCCATGAGAAGCATTGAAGAAGCTCCACAATCTTGATATTCTCCCGTACTACTCTCAGTGAGGCCAGAAAATGAAAGAGTGGAGTGGGCTTGCCTAGGAAAACAGAGGTTTGGTTCTGTCTTACAGCTCATCATGGAATCAGCAGATGCTGCATTGCTGCATGCTCGCTGCATTGCATTTATTCGTCCAATTGACGAGCCCTGAGTATGAATTTATAAGACTAACTATAAGTGTACTATACAATCAAGTATAAACTCAGAAAAGACCCCTAAAAATTGGGTCCCGGCAATGCAGAAAAATAATAAGCAGCCTTATTCAAACATTTGAACGTATCTACTTCGGTGACATACAGTGCAGGTACAAAATGTTGGCAAGCACGTATATAATGTTCATACCATAAAAAGAGCTGTTTTAAAGTCACTTTGACAAAAAAACAAGGGGCACTTATGTCCAGAACATGATGGTTCATCCAAGTATTCATGAAAGGTACTGGGGTATCCATGCAAAAAATTAAACCATCATTCCAATTATATATGTAAAACTAAATCACTCCATGTGAGTGATTGTAGTTGTGATATATTCACCAATATGAAAGAACTGGTTCTTCATAAAAAAAAAAAAAACCACAAGCAAATAACAGGGATAGCATATAACTTAGCAAAGACTTTGTCTAAACCTTTTTGGCTTAGGGTACATTCAAGGGCTGCCCACAGGTAGTGATCATTTAAAGCCGTAGGGGCCTGGAGCCAACATTTAATACCTCAGCCATCAATTTCTGGCTTTTCCTTTTTCTTTTTTCCTGATAAGTATTTCAGGTTTTCTAGTTTCTGTCTCTGTTCATGTAATTCTTTCACAAGTTTTTTAGGGAAATGGAGGTAAAGCTATACAATTCTTCGAAACTCCAATGCACCTGGATTTGGTCATATCTGTTCCAGGGCAGGTATTGTCTTGGAGCTTATTTAGAGAAGACCAGAACTTTTTTTGGGGGAAGTAAGAGTTCAATTGACATAATAGAGGGTGCGCCTTGGCATCAAGGTTCGAGTCATGGAAACACCCTTTCCCCATGCGAGAAAAAGTTGCGTACATCCGACATTCCCAAACCCTACAATGGTAGAAGCCTCATGCACTGGGACGTCCTTTTAGTTCCATCAACACATTATTTAATGATGGGGAATGGGAGAAGTGTCAGGGTGGGCTTTTCCAGTTTCTGTTGCAGTCATTCAAGATGATCAACACGATAAATCTACTAGGAGTTCAAAAGTATCAAGAAAAATAGGGTTTACATCTTTCCATTTACAGTCAAGAATTTTACTATTGTCAAAGGATCATAAGCACAAAGATCAAGCTATGTAAAATGAAGTGAACAAACATCATGCGCTTCTGATCCAAATAAAACACACAGTGCACATAATCTACATAATAGTTTAAAAGTAAACAACAACTTGCCGGCTCCTGAGAATGTGATCCGACAACAGGAGCTTAAATATGCTACCTCCATCAATAACATTTCATTTAACGGAAAATTTGGTGGATGAGAAAGAGGGCAAAGTCTGTTGACAAAATTCCTTTTTGTTAAGATCGGTATTGAAAACCTAACATAAAGACAAGACAGACAAAGCACAAACACCTCAACACAGAAGAACATTATAGCTGAAAATGATAGGAAAATAAACATAAAGCAATCGAAAATAATGAGAGAGAACCTGGGTAACATATGCACCCTGACAGTTTGAATCGGCACCAGACATGTCCTTCATACCAAACAAGCTATCTATCCCATCATTCTCAAAAAGCTGTTCCCAATTATTAAGAGTTACACCAAAAAGTTCTTTATAGTTCTCAATGTTTAAGTCAACTTCATCCATATTAAAGTCCTCATAAAAATCATCATCTTCACATGGTCCAGGCCCTTTAGTTCCAGAACAGCAAAGCTGCACGTTGATAGGATAAAAATGTACATTTATTCTCAGAAAGTAAGGAAAAGGAAACATGTGAGCATCTAGAAAATTATATAATCCAATAAACTAAAACTAAGAACACAAATTTTCAATTTTTGCTTATATGCATGCTAATCTACACTGACAATCAGCAAATTATTAGAACATTTGAGCTTGGTGAATTGCAGAACTGCATGGCTATGATTTATAAATGACATACGAGAATTTACATCATGCAAAGCTTAAATTTACATACCAATAATTATAAAAACATTCGAAAATTAAATTTAAAGGACAATATGTAATTACAATTGTAGGGCTGTGGTGGTGCACCCATGGAGGCTTAGGACCATTATAAAGGAAAGATTACTAATTGATGGAGTAAGATGACAAAGAACACAAAAATGATTGAAGATTGGACATGTTATGCTTTAGCAAACATATGTAAGAATAAAGGAAGCTGACCCCACTATTATCGCACTGAAATCAGAATTCCTATTATGAAACTTTGAAACTGAATGAGAATAAAGAACAAAAATATGAAACGAAGGTTTTAGAGAACCAATATCAGTTATATGTCATCTTTACTCAGACTATTTATGGATATGGTTGGGGAAATGCTGAACGACTTTATGTAATAAATATTCACTTCCAAAAGCAACCAAAAAAACACTAGTACCCACAGAAGCTTAATGTCGTGGATCTCGCAAAAGAAGGGTACCAATTAACAAGCCTGAGAACATTTACTAAGAGAGGGTTTTTTACTCACATAGGCCTAGATACAAACTACACATTGTTGAGAGCCACACAGGATACTGTAAGGTAACTAATTGTCTGCACCAAGAAGACCTTGTATTCTCCAATGTATTTATCATGATCATGCAAATTCTGATAGGGTTGTTTAAGCCAAGATATATAGAGAAAGTGACTTGAAGAATAAACAAAAAGGAAAAATTCAAGGTCTATTCTCGATAGGCCACCTAGGAGGTTAGTGACATATGGTTCACAGATGACTTGTTCATTCATGGTTCAAGATTGCCAAGGCTGCTACACTTAATGGCATGCATCTTAAATTTGAGAAAATTGTTAAACTTGAGGCCAAAATGGCTAGTTTAATTATCTCTGCAGGACCTGATGAGAGTAGTCAAACCAACTGCTCAGTTCATTGGCTTTGAAGGAAGGTAAGTTCTCTTTGAAATAGCCTCAGGCACTAGGGTGGCTCTTAAGTTTTCTAATATCAAGTGTACAGAACCCAATGAAGCAAAGATTTAGTGTTCAACATAATTTTCTCCCTTGCTTAAAAGTTACAAACAGTCAAGTCATTCACTGATTTCAATATTATTGCCGTCTTGTTTATCGCCTAAAAGGGAAATTAGATGGTCTCCAGATGAAATAAAGAAAAAGAGAAGCCAAATTTTCCTCAAATAGCCTCCAGAGTCAAACTAAAGAAGGGCTGGCAAAAAAGGATAGAATATGGAATGAGGCCTCTAAAACATATCTTTTTAGGGTGCCTATCTCTAAAAGGAATACATATAGGTGGTTTGGGTCAATAAGTGCTGGTTAGCGGAAACAAGTTTCTCTAGAATTCCTATCCCCAGTGGATCTCCTGACTGTGGACAAGGATATTTGAGACCTAAGAATAGCTTTTCTGCACCATGCTATTGCGGATGGGCTGGATGGAAAACTCTGTTTCTATAGGTTCAGAATAGGCATAACCTTGCTCTGGTGTTCAGCTAGCTGAATCTAGTAATCGCATATAACTGCTTATAACATATGTCATGATAGGTTCTACCACATCCCAAAAGGCTTGGCATCCTGCAAGAACCACTACTGGTCTAGGAGGACTAATCCGAAAAGCCATCCTGCTCTTGTTTCTGAAGTAAATGAAACAGAATATGATGTTTCAAAGCCTTCCCCTAACAAGAAGCTTTTGCAAGTTGGGCATGTAGAGCTTTGCAAGATCCTTTGCCACTAGTTAATTAGGCTCATTTGCCATGGGCAACCTAATCAATCTTAATTTCTATATGTGACTGGGTAATAGATATCCGCTTTCTACTCAAAGACAGCTTGATCGAAAAGGTATCATAGTTGTTCCGCCTGTGGACTCTATTATAATTACAGGAAGCTGAATCCATGACACTTTTTTTGGAATCACAGTTTCAATGAATACCTCTGGGATCAGGCTTTGGAGAATACCTGCAAGTCAAGAACGTGGATCAAACTATTCAACCAGTGAGCTTGAAGGTTCAAAGAAAAACTTCTTTAAGATGGTTGAAATGGTGGATTCTGGTGCCATCTCTGGATTAGGAAAAACTCAAGACATCTAAGAAAAACTCTAGGAAAGCATGAGACATCCTTCTGCCTGGAGTATTTCCAGATTGGAGTCTCATTAGTTTATCGGTAGAGATATACCGGTGATAAATGTCTTCGTATTGAAAAAGTCCTTTAGCTAGGGGCACTTGGGATCAACTACATGCTTTCTTTAGTAAGATGCTTAGAGTAATGGACGGCTTCTCTCCATGTTCAGTAGTTTTGCTAGTTAGGTGTGATTTTTTGGCTAGGTTTTGAGTTAGGCTTTTTCTTGAAATTCCATTCAGTGTCCAGAAAATGCCCCTTGGCCTCCTGGGATTTAGGTTTGGCAACCTTTTAAGTATACATATTGTGATCTCTTTTTCTTTTTCTTTTTTTTTCTTTTTTTCAAATAAGCATACATATGTAATCTATGAATCTAAGAGTAGAGGTTTGGTGGCCAAGGGCGTAAATTGTAATTTGGTTTTTAATATCCATAAACAGACTCTAGTAAGGGTGGCTCCTAATGCATATGATGGAATGTAAAAGAATCTAAACACACTTAAAAGGTTGACAATGCTTGATAGAATGAAGTGCACGGTTTTGTATAACATGTGCGTAAGTGTACTTAACACGAGAATGTAAATTAAGTCGAGTCACACGACGATGCAGCCCAAATAATGGTCTCAGTCTTGGCAACAAAATGTATATATTCACCCAAGTCTCCCAAAATATGAAAACAATCACTAGGGTCCTAATCTCCTGCATGTCAAGAAAGTTCATAACAGGCTTTAATACGAGTCGTAGTTACACAATCAAGATGTAGGGGCATTAGGGATCTAATTGGTAATTTTGTTTAGCATAATATCACAAAAATCTTCAGTTACCTTTGGTGAGACAGAATTTGTGGATCCCATTGTTTGGTCTATATTATGTAGCCTGGTGTCAAGTTGAGGCACTGAGGATGAACCCATGACACATGTCCAAACTTTTGAGTTATTGGCATTCTGAAAGTCACTCCCTTCAACTGCGACAGACATATCTTGATTGTTATTATTCCCTGAGGCACCTTGGGAGTTCCTCGGACAGTTATCATTGATGCTCATTGCACCCATTCCCTGCTCACAAGCAGAATCACCAACAGAAGGGGAATCTAAAAGAAATGACCAGATAGTAGAAAGTTCTGCAGCCGAAGGGCAACCAGAATAACAATTAAGTGGTTCCCTTTTATGTGTGGAACCCGAGTTAGATCCATCGTGCCCACTCCAATCGCAGTTCGGACAAAGAGATATCTTCTCTTCGACACATCTGACAAATGCGGGTTGTGAACTGCATCTTTCACACAATAGTGTCCTTGAATGGCGTCGTGAAAGAGCATTTGCAGAGTGGACATTGCAGTCACAAGACAAACATAGACAGGCTGCATCAGATCGACAGTACACCATAGACCTTTGTGCTCCACAGAAATCACAAGTGTAACCCATGTTTTAATTAGCTCTTCTTCTCAGATCAAAACTTTACCCCGCAACAGACAAAAGTGCTACAACTTTATCCTGACAATATATATCAACTCAAATGCACATGAACCACCGTTTCACAAGCAGAAACTCAAACACGGAAGGACAATACCGTATCGATTTTCGTTATAGAGGTACATCAATCTGCATTAAACAAATCAAAATGCAAAAAATTAAGAAACTGGTATTTTTCTCCAATTGAGTACAAATACATGAAATTTATTGGTCTAAATTATGCAAGGGTCATTCAAGAATAAAA